ATTCAATAAACACAATTGGTGCAATTGTTGTCTCCCATACAGGTACAGCACTGGTGTGTTCCCCAATGGGGGGCCATTGCTATCCTTCGGACAGTGCCGGTTCCCTGGCTGCCTCCGGTCTGGAACAAACACACAGGTTAGGAAATCAGAGTGATGTCAGAACTTTTCCAGGGTGGAACCCCAGAAAGTTTTTAATACCAGAGGATCAGTATGACAGCCAGGGAATTGGCATTGCCAGCCTGTGTGTCCTCCCCCAGTACTGATTTCCTTTACGTATGTGTTCTATGAATGTCCAATAACCTGACAGAGAAATGAATTGTGTTTATGTAATTATCACTGAAACAAAAGTCCATCTGATTGTAAAATCTTCTTCCAAGTCTCTGATTGGCTGCCTGCTGTCCCTGGGCAGCCAATGGAGATACATTGTAGCAGTGCTTTGTATTAAATGATTATCCTTTTACACTGAGATATATCATACACACGGCTGCAGGGTGCAGGTTGTCCTTCACAGTATGATGCACTGAAATTAGGCTCTCTATAATTTCAACACTTTGTCGATACAATGTATTAGGGCTGGAGCTAACGATTATTCTCATAATCGATTAGTTGCCCGATTATTTTTTCAACTAATCGATTGGTTGCATTACATCTCTCTCTCTTTCTCTCTCCCCCCTCTTTCCTCCCCCCCCCACCAACTAACATGTACCTGTTTTCAGCGATTGACACGCGGATGTAACCCCATTGAAATCAATGGGGCAGAGCAGCAACTTCTGCGTGCAACCACATGGACCCGGGACCTCCCCCGTGTCTGCACCAGTCCTCGTGGTGTGATACATTGCAGTATGATGCTGTATAAATCTTACAATACAATGTAACAATGCTTTTTTAGGATATTACTTTTAAAGTGACACTAAACTCCGGAGTTAAGTCTTAAAAATGCATTCAAGTACCTTAAATATCAACAGCAATGGGGGGAACTTACCAAAACTGGAGCACGAGAATCTGGAGCAGTTGCCTACGGCAACCAATCAGCTTCTCTCTTCGCTTTGTTCACTTAAGTTTTGAAAAATGAAAGTGGATGCTGATTGGTTGCCGTGCACAGCTGCTCCAGATTCTATAAATTACCCTCAGGGCTTGTTCACACCAATTGCGATGCGTTCCAGAGCCGTAGCTTGGGGGGGGGGGGGGGAAGCTTGGAGCGGTGACTACTTTACAACACACACAGGGACCATGGGGAACAATTTAGCTGGCTGACGACTGCCAGGAGGTGCCGCGCGTGTCGGGATCCTCTGGCAGTCGCCGGCCAGCTAAATTAGGACCCCACCTGGAGCTCCTCCCACCGGACCAGCGCTGACTCGCCGCTGCTCTCCCGCACCGAAGGTAAGTGGAAAAAAAAAAAACATAGCGCAAACATCGGGGCATTTTGACAAGTACTTGTCAAACTGCCCTGTTTTTTCCGCCCTCACCCTGCAGCGCCCTCAGGCGGCCGCTTGCCTTGCGGTAGCGCCGGGCCCGAGGACACTACAATGTACCAGCGCCTTTTTATACTCTCTTATGGTGGAATACAATGTAACACATTTGCTGATACATTCGAACAGTATTTGTTTTATAATATTGTCTTTTGTGGTGTTAATCATTGTAATAAAACTCTTTATAGCACTTTGGCATTGCAGTATAACAATGTTTTGTGCAAAATGTCATTTCTAGTGTGAGGCATAGTAACATTTCTCTCTTCAGTATACATCTCGTGGATACAATGTAACAATTCTTTGTATAATCTGTCTAGTTCATTGTGACCCAGCTCTGTATAGTATACACACCATGTTGACACAATAGAACAATGTTTTTACAGTCTATCTGATGTGATACAATGTAACACAGCTTTGTATAGTATAACATGTTGTTGGCACAATGCTTGTACTATCTGACTGTTGTGATACATTGTAAAACAACTCTGTATAGCACAACATGTCGTTGACACAATGGAACAATGCTTGTACTATGTGTCTGGTGTGGTACATTGTAGCACAGCTTTGTATAGTAAAATCAAATCATTGACACAATGTAACAATGCTTGTACTATCTGACTGGTGTGACACATTGTCGCACAGCTCTGTATAGTACAACATGTTCTTACAATGGAACAATGCTTATATTATCTGTCTGGTGTGATCTATTGTAAACACAGCTCGATATAGTACAACATGTTGTTGATACAATGTAACAATGCCTTGTATAATTTGTCTGGTACGAAACACAGGTGTGTATAGTATAACAAGTTGATACAATGTTGGAATGTTTGTAATCTTTCTGGTGTGATACATTGTAACCCAGCTCTGCATAGTATAACATGTTGTTGATACAAATGTAACAATTATTTGTACTCTCTCTCGTGTGATATATTATACAGAGCTGCGAAACAATGTATCACACTCAAGAGACAGTACAAATAATTGTTACATTTGTATCAACATGTTATACTATACAAAGCTGTGAAACAATGTATCGCACTAGAGAGACTGTACAAGATGTTACATTGTATCAACGATGATATAGTATACAGAGCTGTGAAACAATGTATCGCACTCCAGAGACAGTACAAAGAATTGTTACATTGTATCAACATGTTATACTATACAGAGCTGTGGACAATGTATCGCACTAGAGAGACTGTACAATAAGTTGTTACATTGTATCAATGTTATACTATACCGCGCTGTGAAACAATGTATCGCACTAGAGAGACTGTACAAGGTGTTACATTGTATCAACGATATTATAGTATACAAAGCTGTGAAACAATCACACTAGACAGACAGTACAAAGAATTGTTACATTTGTATCAATAGTGTGTTATATTATACAGAGCTGTGAAACAATGTAACACATTATTGATACAAATGTGACAATCCCTTGTACTGTCTGTCTAGTGTGATGCATTGTTTACAGCTCTGTATAACATGTTGTTGATACAATGTAACAATTCTTTGTACTGACTCTCTAGTGCGATACATTGTTTCGCAGCTCTGTATAGTATAAAACACTATTGATACAAATGTAACAATTCTTTGTACGGTCGGTCTAGTGTGATTGGTTCACAGATCTCCCTGATCACTATTGCCAGCAAATGTTTACTTTGTATCAATCCATTTAGTGGTGATTAGCCGCCTGTGCCGCTCTGCCTCCTCTCTGGGCTCCCAGATACAACAAAAGCTGTTCAGTCCTAATGATCTTCCTTCTCATGTGGAACATGGCTGAGCACTCGCTGCCCGTCTCTCTCTCTCCCTCTGATGGACACAGCTCCACCTTGCATGTGTACATAGGCTTAACATGGGCCTGGCTCTTCCCATTGGCTGCCCTCCATCTCCCATTCTACCATTGTCTTTGCACCTGAATGGATTATTCCATTCCTGAGGTGGGGGGAGGGCGGTGGTGGATGGCGAAGCTTTGAGTGTTTGTCACCCAGCAGGGCGTCTAATTTTCGACTCAAGACAACGGAGGCAGGAAAGTAGGACCGGGACCGATGATTTGTGGGGGGTCTTATATGTTTTTATCAGGAGCGGGGATGGCTCTGGCTCTTCCGACCCCCCTATGGAACGGAAATCCAGCTGCCCGCAGTCTGAATTGGGACAATGTAATGAGAAAGGCTGACAGCAATAGAGATATACATAGTGTCTGAGAGCCATGCATTGCAGCAGGCGCACACGCATCCCCTTTGGCATGACCGGGAGGATGGCAGGGGCACAGTGAGGGGGTCTCGCACGCACGAGCAGCCGGCGGCGTGCCCTGGTCAGAGAGACGGATTAAGGGTCTACGCGGTGGGTCCAGCCCCCCCAAAGAGGAGCGATGGATCCTGGCGAGGGCTAACGAGAGCTCCTGCCCACTCTCTATTGACAAGGCGGCAGCATGGTGGTGAGTACCGGAGGGGTATGGTATCGTCGGTGCCCAGTAGGTGGGGCACACACTGGCATATTGGGCAGGTGCCTTTGTTATGAGTGTCATTGGCTCATGACGGCATTCAAAGCGGTCCATCAGGGTCCGTCTTTGGCTCTGGCGACACGTCTCCCCAAAAAAATCCATTCTATAAAAAAAAATGCTTTTATAACCATCAATATTCCATTAGCGCGGCAACGATCGCCTCAGAAGTGCAATTTTTTCCGGAGACGGTGCGGTCGCGTTTCTATTGTGGTTTCAATCGTGACCGCAGATAAAAGAACCCTTGATCGCCATGAAAGGGGGCCATGGTTCGGCCCCCGAGGGGTTAAGTTGCAGGGGGTCACGTGCGTCGCCTAGCCGACTTGAGGAATGGCTGGGGGAGGAATGCTCTGCAGACCGCAGCTAACAGGTGCCTATGAGGAGTGTTGGGAGCAATGCTCTGCCTGCAGACGGTGTACGGAGTATTGGACTGCTGTCTGCGCTTGGCGTGCGCTTGTCTGCTTCCTATGGAGCGGGGACCGAGAGGTAAACTGAAATATGTCACCGCGTGAGCCCGTTAATAACAATAATGTAACCCCCCCCCCCCCGTCTGTCCGTGAATTGTAAGCTCTTGTGGTGCAAAAATTCCCATCGGCTACAACATGTTACAATTTTTTTGGGGGGCTAGCCGGACTGCGCCCAGACCGACCGGCTAGCGGGCATTAAATGG